AAAACAGTGCATATATAGTGAACTGCCAGAAGTTCAAGCAAGATTTAGAAGAGGCCATGGCACCAGGGACATCATTGCTAATGTCAGATCGCTCCTGGCTGAAAGTAAAGAATACCCAAAGGATATCTATTTGTGATTTATTGACTATGCAAAGACATTTGACTGTGTGGATCACAGTAATTTGTGGCTGACGTTGAGAAGAATGGGAATTCCAGAGCACATAATTGTGCTCATGCAAAAACCTTCACCTGTTGTGGAAACAGACCAGGAGAACACTGTATTGTTTAAAATTAAGAAGGGAGTGTGTCAGGTTGTATTCTCTCTCTCTCCTTCATAGGGAAGTGAAAAGGCTATATAGCTCAGATTGGCAGCAAGATACAGTCCCTCAGTCTGGACAGGTTCTCAAGTGTGACTGCAGGCCCTTTGATCTTCATCCTCATGGCTTAGGTGAGTGTTACAAAGCTCCCTTAGTCCTGCCAGTTACTGTGGCTCCCCTCAGTCCTCTAGCAAACTTGCGTGAAGGTGTCTGGCTCTGGCTCTATGGGGCAGCAATCCCAAATCAGCTGTCTCATGTTGGTCTCTGGTTCTCTGCTGAGGCAACCTTTGCAGATCTTGGTAGATTTTGGTCTGACAGGCTCAGGAATCTCTGGCCTTGATGTAATTGTGCTGCTTTCTCATCCTTATTGGTATTAAGATTCCCAATTTCTGCCTCTGAATCTGCTTAAATTAAAGCTAGTAGAATGATGAGACTAGTGAAATGTTGTTGTTGTTGTTGTGTGCCATCGAGTCACTTGTGACTCATAGCAACCCTGTGTATAACAGCTCTGAACCATTCTCTATGCTGAGCCAACCTTACTGTCTCTGACACACCTACCTTCATTACTCAAGTTACTGAGTTGATCCATCTCATCGAGGGTCTTCCTCTCCTATGCTGTCCCTACATTTTCCCAAGCATAATGCCCCTCGCCAAGGACTGGTTGGTCCCAACTTACAACCCGCCCAAAGTATGTCAGCTAGAGCTTCAGAATATGTGTCTCCAAGAAGCAGCCTGGTTTCACCCTCTCTAGGATGCCCCCTGTTCGTTTTCCTAGCAGTCCATTATATATATTCAATACTCTTCTCCAGCACCACAGCTCAAAGGCATCAGTTCTCCTTCTATTATCCCTAGTCATTATCCAGCTTTCTGATGCATAGCATGTAATTGCAAAGACCATGGCTTGGATCAGGTGCACCTTAGTTTCCAGACTGACATTATTGCTCTTCAGTACTCTGGAGATGTCCCTGACAGCAGACTTTCCCAATGTAATTCATCTTTGATGATGATGATGATGATGATGATGATTACATAGTTTATTTACAAAATTCAAATACATTATTTTCTAGACCAGAATCTTCCAATTTCCCTCAAGCAATTCATCTTTTAATTTCCTGGCTGCGGGAACCAAGAGTGTTGATTGTGCAGCCAAGCAAACTGAAGCTGCTAACAATCTCAGTCTCTTCTTTGTCTACTACTATGCTGCCAGTTGTCCCAGTGGTGAGAATCTTTGTTTTTTTGATGTTGAGCTTCAATCCATATTGAAGGCTGTAGTCCTTGACCTTCTGCACCCAGTACTTCAGGTCCTCCTCAGTTTCAGCAAGCAAGGTTATGTCATCTGCAGAACACAGGTTGTTGATGAGTCTTCCTCCAATCCTGATGCCACATTCCTTCTCATACGGTCCAGCCTCCCAGGTGATCAGTTCCGCATATAGATTGAAAAGTACGTAGACAGGACACATCCCTGGCATATAACCTTCCCAATTTTGAACTATGAAGTGTTTCTTTGCTTTGTTCTGATGACTGCCTCTTGGTCCAAGTATAGGTTTCGCATAAGCACAATCAAGTGTTCTGGGATTCCCATTCATTTCAGAGTTAGTCACAGTTTATTGTGATCCATACAGTCAAATGTCTTTGTATAGTCAATGAAACACAGATAGACATTCCTCTGGTACTCTCTGCTTTCAGCCGAGATCCAACTCACATTAGCTATAATATCCCTAGTACCACGAACTCTTCTAGACTCAGCTTGCACTTTTCGCAGTTCTCTGTTGATGTACTGCTCCAGTCATTTGGATCAGCAGTCATTGGATCATTTTCAGGAAAATCTTGCTTGCATGTGATAGTAATGATATTGTTCGATAATTTCCATGCTCTATCAGGTCACCTTGTCACCTTTCTTTGGAATGGAAACAAATATAGATCTTTTACAGTCAGTTGGCCAAGTGGTTGTCCTCCTCCCGATTTCTTCGCACAACTTAGTGAGCACATCCAGGCAGTATCTGTTTGTTGAAATATGTAATTGGTCAATTAGTCAAAATGTCGTCAATTCCTGGGGCCTTGTTTTTTGCCAATTCCTTCAGAGCAGCTTGGAACTTCTTCCTTTATCACCACAAGCTTTTATTCAAATATTGTTTTATGAAATTCTTCTGTGTCAGCCAATTCCTTTTTAGTACAGGGACCCTATATACTCCTTCCATCTTCTTTTACTGCTTCCTGGATCATTCAATAGTCTGCCCATAGTGTCCTTAAACACTGCAACTCGAGGCTTGAATTTTTCTTCAATTCCTTCAGCTTAAGAAATGCCAAATGAGTTCGACCCTTTTGATTTTCTGACTCCAGCTCTTTGCACTTTTCATTATAATACTTTGCCTTGTCTTCCTGAGATGCCCTTTGAAATCTTCTGTTCAGCTCCTTAATGTCTTGATTTCTTTCCTTTGTTTGGGCTTCTCGGCATTCTTCCCCAATATTCAGTCTCTTCTGACATCCATTTTGGTCTTTTCTTTCTCCTCTGCTTTTATAATGATCTTTTGCACTCTTCCTGAGTGATATTCTTGATACCCTCTCACACCTCATCTGGTCTTCGCTCATTGGTGTTCAAGGCCTCAAACCTGTTCCTGAGAGTTTTCAAATTCAAGTTGGATAGACTCAAGGTCAAATTTTGGTCCCTGTGGATTTTATTTTCTTTAACTTCAGTTTAACTTGCATAAGAATAGTTGGTGAGTTGGTGATCTGTTCCACAATCAGCACCAGGCCTAGCTTTAACAGGTGAAATTGAGCTTCTCCAGATATTCTTCCCACAAATAGAGTTGATCTAATTCCTACGCATACTATCAGGTGAAATCCATCCATACCTACAGTCTGTGTTTACGTCTCACTAGTAGGCTCACTAAAAGGCTAAAGTCAAACACTTTATTTATATAACCCCACTCGCCCAGCCATGTGTCAAAGGTCAAAGTTCATGGCAAGGAAAGTCATTTTGAACAATAAATCCTTAACACAGCACTGACAGATCTTGGCTGAAAGCACAGAATATCAGAAGAATGTCTTGTGTTTTATTGATTATGCAAAGGCTTTGTCTGTGTGGATCATAACAAATTATAAAAAACTTTGAGAAGATAGGAAATCCCAGAATACCTAATTGTGCTCATGTAAAAACTAAACTGTTGTCTGAACAGAACAAGGGAACACTGCATGTTTTAAACTAAAAAAAAAAGTATATGTTTTTATGTTATGGCTGTGTCCTTTCCCCATAACTATTCTATTTCTATGCTGTGCAAATCGCACAAGAAACTGGACTCCATGGAGAAGAATGTGGCATCAGGATTGGAGGAAAACTCATCAACAATCTGTATTATGCAGATGGCACAAGATTGCTTGCTGAAAGTGAGGATTTGAAATGTTCGCTGCAGAAGATCAAAAACTTCACCTTTTAATATGGATTATATCCCAACATCAAGAAAGCAGGATCATGATAGATAGAGGAAAGATTCAGACTGTTAACAATTCTATCTTGCTTGGTTCTACAATCAGCACCCTAGGTATCAGCAGTCAAGAAATAAAATACATATTGCATTGGAAAAGCCTTCTTTTAAGGATTTCTCCAAAGTACTAAAGAACAGTGACACTAGGTTAAAGACTAAGGTCAACCTGATTCAAGCCAATGTCTTTCAATCACTTGTTATACATCTGAGAGTGGGATAATGACTAAGGATGACAGAAGAAAGATTGAAGCCTTTGAGTTGCGGTGTTGGAGAAGAGAACTGAGTATCTCATGGACTGTCAAAGAATAAACAAATATGTCTTGGAAAAAGTGCAACCAGAGTGCTCCTTGGAAGCATGGATGTCAGAACTTGACTCACATACTTTGGCCATGTGTTGGAAGGGACTGGTCCTTGAAGATCCTTAACGAGATGGATTGATACAGTGACTGCAGCAATTGGCTCAGATATATCAGAAGATGAAGATGACATGGTTCATTGTTCATAGGGTCACTGTGAGTCACACTCAACTTGATGGCACCTAACAACATCAACCAACTTTCCAGCTAATAGTCAAGCACTTGAGCATTTGTGCCACCCAAAAGTTAGCAAACTTTTCCCATAAATGGATAGATGTTCAAGATTTCCGGATCTGCAAATTCTAGGGACTTTTTTGTAATATCTCCACCCTGCTTGTTACAGCCACCAAGTAAAAGAATGGACATGGGTAGTGTTCCAATAACACGGATGCGGACATTTTCATTTCACAGACTTTTCAAGTGTCACAAAATAGGCTTCTTTTCGTAGATTTCCCTCCTCTCCACGAAACTATTTTTTTTTATTTTATTATTTTTGTGTGAGTGTACCGTCAAATCAGATATGACAGGTACAGGAGGAAATTTTCCCTCCTTCCCCGGCAGAGCATCTGGTGGATTTGAACCGTGCACCTCTGGGATTGTAGTTGCAGTTCCTTGCCACTAGGCCACTAGAGCTCCCCTCCACGAAACTATTTAATAACGTAAAAGCCATTAGCACGGGAGCCAAGGGTCCAGTTTTGCCCGACCAGGTTAGGAACCAGGTTTACGCAGGAAAACAAGAGCTTCCGCGGAGCGAGCCCCGCCTCTCCTCCTGGGCCCGCCCTTCCTGGGCGGAGCATGCGCAGGCGCGACCCAGGCTCGGGCTTGGGGGCGGGGCGGGTCGCAGCTCTGACTTTCAACATGGCGCACGCTGGTGGCGGCGGCGGCGGCGGCGGCACCCCCGCGGGCCGGGGGCTGAGCGGAGCTCGCTGGGGTCGCTCGAGCTCCGCTGGCCACGAGAAGCTGCCGGTGCACGTGAGTGGTGCCCGCCCCTCCTCCGAGACCCTCGGCCCCCGCAGGCAGCGCCCCTCACCCCGGCCCCGCCCGACCCTGGCCCCCCGCCCGGCGTCGGCCTCCTCTTCGCAGTCCCGGATCCGGGACCCCCACAGCTTGTCCACGCAAGCCCAGCCAGTCCCCTTCTCCACCAGGGACCCCTGACTTCTGTCCCCTTCCTCCTCTGATTCCCGTTCCCCCGGGACCTTCCTCCCTGCAGGTGGAGGACGCCCTCACCTACCTGGACCAGGTGAAGATCCGTTTCGGCAGCGACCCTGCCACCTACAACGGCTTCCTAGAGATCATGAAGGAGTTTAAAAGCCAAAGGTACCCCAGGAGTCCCCTCCCCACCCCTTGGGGTCTCGCAGGACCGGAATCGGGCTGATCTGGGTTTGAGACCCCCATCTCGGCTACTGTTGCTCGGCCGAGTAACTTGTGCGCTTTATTGGACCTCTTTTGAACCTCCGTTTTTTTCTTCTGCAAAAGGAGAGATGGATCGGACCTTGTGAGGCTGGTGTTGGGAATTCTGGAAGGGGTTAGGGAGGGATGAGGTCGGGCGCATGCATGCAAGGTCGGATCCTCGCTTTATTTAAAATGTGGACTTTGAAGTTTTGTGCATCTAGGAATTTTTGCATCGGTGTCATTTATTTTGATGACTGAATTTTCTGGTGCCCCTCACCCTTAAATTTTTGCTGCGAGTTTAGCACACCCCCCCCCCCTTGTTTTCCCCTAGACCCGGCCTTGCTTAGAAATAATATGCCTGAAAAATGTTCAGTGAGGAAATTGGCACGGGGAAAGCATTTAAAGACTTTAGCTATTTTTGTAGGAGAGGAGCCTAACCATTATTGGGCTGCAAACCAAAGGTTGGTGGTTCAAATCCTTTCTGCAGGAGGAAGATGAAGCAGTTTGTTCCATAGGATTAAAAAAATCCACTACTGTGGGTCCCTTAGCAGCCGTGTAGGATTGAAGAGTTTCCAAGGCTGTAAATCTTAACAGATGCACACTAGTCTTCCTCCTGCAGAACGGCTAGTTAATTCAAACCTCAAACCTCAGACCTTGCCCGCCTGGGCTCCTTTTTATAAAGCTCTGGCGACCTATTGGTAAGAAGCTGTGCTGCAATCCCGAAGTCACGAGGTTCAAATCCACCAGTTGCCCTGAGGGAGAAGGATGAGCAGTCCCCTCCTGTGGTATTTACTGTCTTTGAAAACTTGCTGGAGGGTCAGCTTTGAATTGGCCCTGATTAGACCTAGGGTTGCTAGGAGTCAGAATCGAGGTGATGACAGTGTATGTAGGCACTGTAGAATTAGGGAGACCTCGGGATCTTGCTCTTACTTTGCTGGGCAAAGGATGAGGCTTGACGTAGACTAAGGAGTTGTTCACCGAGCTAGGACTCCCACCCCCAACCCATAAATAAATTCTCTTGTCACAGGCCCACCCTCTCTTAGGAAATATGGCAAGACTGGCTTGGTTTTGAAAGTCTCTCTGGGAGCAGATAGTTTTTACTTTACTACTCAAATAAAAATAGCTGGTTTTAACCCACCCAGAGGCACGCAGAGGAAGAAAGGCCTGCCAGTCACCTTCCTTAAAGATTGGTGATGGTTTCCTGCTTTTTTAAATAATTTTTTTTCCGTTGTTGAATATTTTCTTCCCGCCCTTACCAAAAAATTGGTGGCAGTGTTAGATGCTGGCGAATCTGTCTGGCCTCCATGTGATAGTAGAGCTGACTCCGTAACCTTTATTCCTGGTGAGAAAACATCCCACAGCTGTTCTTTGTTAAATATGGTATTGCTGTGAGTTGGAATGCACTCAATGGCAATGATTTGGGGGTTTTCAAGAAACAATTTTCGCCTGGATTGCTTCCAGGAACATTTGTTAATGTCAGCCCCTGTTTTGGGACCACTGCAGGGATGAGGGAGGTGCCCTTCCCCCCGTTCCACAAATTCATACAGTCCTGATGTCTGCTAGGTCTTCAATGTTGATAGAGTGCAATAAATTGCTCAGCTCAAAACCCGTGTCACGGTTGCTCCTGATGCTTATAAAACTACAGGATTTATCACACTCCCTGGCGGGAGCTGACCTTCTGCCACTTCATGGAGTCCAAGGCTTGCACTTAGAGCCCCTGACATTTTCAAGAGTTGCTGGGTAGTGAAATAGTGACGTACTCAGCAAGGAAGCAGAAGGTTGGCAGTTCAGATCCACTCACACATACCTAGGGGGAAAGGCTGACGTGGAAAACGCTGTGGAGCACACGTCTGCTCTGGCACGCACGGTGTTGCCTGAGTCAGTCGGGTTTGGGGTTTTTTATTGTCAGTCCACGTCCTTGGTGTGTCTGGGGAGCCATCCTGGGCCCCCGTTCAGCAGTTCTTAGCTTGAGGGGGTAGGGGTGGAAAGCAGGTCATGATGGCAACGGCGGCTTTTGACCGTTAACCAGGTCCGTTCCACCTCTCGGCGACACTGTATGCCAGCAGAATTGTCAGACAGAAAACAGTCGGGCTTTCTTGGCTGTGATTTGTACAGGGGTAGATCACCAGGCCTCCCTCTGTGGCACTGTGTCAGCGCAGGGTTTCACTGCTGCACCACTGTGGCCGCTCCTTCCTTCCTTCCCTGGAAAAGGTGCTGGGGTCATACCACAGACAGGTGTATCTGAGATCCCTTTGTTACCTGTCAGAATGCTCATTTCCTGCACACTGTTATGAGAGGCAGAAATAGGCTTTGCCTTTGATTTGCCGCCCGAGACCATTCTGTGCACTTGCATCCCTCTCTGTCACAGCATCGACACTCCTGGGGTCATCAGACGCGTGTCCCAGCTGTTTCACGAGCACCCGGACCTCATCGTTGGCTTCAACGCGTTCCTCCCCCTGGGATACCGGATAGACATCCCCAAGAACGGCAAGTTAAACATGCAGTCGCCACTGACCAGCCAGGTAGGCCCCGCCGGGCTTCAGTTCCCTGGCTGTCAGGCTGTGTTTCTTTGCTGGAAGCCATGTGAAATCCGGTCTATTTCCAGACAGGCTGCTAATCGTTTCTGGCACAAATCAGACTAGATCAAAACGCCTACTCAGGCAGCCCTACATCCCAAATGTGTCTGTGTGAAGTCCAGAATGGATGTGTTAGGCAGGCCTGCTCCTAACCCAGGTCATCTCCGAAGTCAGGATAACTGCATCCTGTGATCCCATGTCTGTGAGGTCCGTAGACTAGGCATGTGTAGCTGTCTCGTGGCTCTGAGTCATGGTCACCCTGTGGCAGAGGAGAGCTGTTGTTAGGTGCCATCAAATCAACTGCTTACAGCGACCCTTTAAACAATAGATTGGAACCTAGTCCTGCACCAGGGATTTTAAAGCTGTGGCCTTTGGCAAGCAGATCCCAGCCCTGTTTTCTGAGGCCCTCCTGGGTGGGTTCAAACTGCCAGCCTTTTGACTAGTAGTCAGGCACACCCAGGGTCCTCAGGATGCATGTTTAATGGTGGTGACTAAGGAAGGGGGAGAGGAGTCAATAATTGGGAAGCAGTGAGCTTTTGTGATGATAGACTGTGTAACAGAAGGTTGTGTTAGGTGTCCATCATGACTGGGGGAACAGGTGCTGCTAAATTGTGTGTGTGTGTGTAAACGTTGAACTGGCAGGTGTTGTGTTATCTGAAAGGTGCCCTGGTAGCGCAGTGGTTAACTGAAAGTTTGGTAGTTCAAACCCAGTGGCTTTTCCATGGAGGACGGATGTGGTACTTTGTAAGGATGGCAAGCTGGGAAACCTTAGAAGGCAGTGCTCCTCTGTCTTCCTGGGTCTCAGTGTGTCAGCAGGGATTTCACAGGTGCGGGCTTGGGGGAGTTTTTACAAGAAGTGAAATAATAACAACAGTGGCCTCAGCAGTGGGACAGATCTCGGTGAGAGGCTGTCTCTGGCTGGGTGCGGTGAGGCAGGCTCCCCACCTACCCGGGCAGGCTCCTGGCCGTGTGAGATCCATGGAGGAGCTGCCAGTACAGCAAAGCTGTGGAACAGATAAGGAGTGGTTTTCGCTGTGTTTTATTTCACTGCTGACAGGACATTGGCACACAGTGACCTTCCCCTCCTCCCCCAGGCCTGCACCTTCCCTGTGTTCTTTCTCTGGTGACCAGCAGCCGTCTCCTCTCCTTCCCCTTCTCATGTTGTGAGTCATCACAGAGTTTATTCTGGCTCCTGGAGACCCGTGTGTGTAGCAGAGAACAGCTGCTCTCTAGGGTTCCCTGCGTATGATCTTTATGGAAGCAGAGTGCCAGGCCTCTGCTCCGCAGGGCCTCTGGGTGGCTTTAACTCACTAACCTGCAGGAGCAGTTCTCTGACACACACAAGTCACGTGAGTAGTTCATGGCCTGGCATGCCCTCTTTGTGCCACCTGGGGAGCTCAGCCCACCAGACCTGCTGAGGAACACAGAACCAACCAAACCTTGTCTGAGCTTCACGTTCATAAGGTAATGGCTGTAATTTGTCTCTTTGAGTGGAGGTTTCTCAGCCTCTTGACAAGCAGTGATGGAATGTTATTCCTTGCTGTGGGGTGACCATTGTCTGGCTTCTAGCAGTATCCCTGCGCTTCAGTCACTCCACACCAGTGAGCCAAACCAAACTGTCAAGTCGATTCTGACTTCTGCAGCGCCGTCTGTGTGTGTGTGTGTGTGTGTATAGGTGTTCCATAGGTTTTCTTTTTGTGATATGAGTGAAGTTTACAGTGCACCTTGGTATTCCAGCCAAACATTCATATATACATTGTCCTAGGCGTTGGCTGAGACAGTCCCCACATTCTCTCACCTCTGTCTCTGTAGATCTCACTTCCATTCACCTCTCTAACTTCTCCTTTCTTACTGTTGAGTTTTCCCCTTGGACGAATGCTGCCCTGGCCATCCACGTGATGGACTGTTGTAACTGCACACACAGTGCCTCCCCTCAACTCCCCTCTTAAAGAGTTCTGATTTGGTTGCAAGTTGTTCCACACAGTGAGTTTGGTTCCAGGTTCAAAGGGCGGCTAAGGGCCATAGTCTTGGGGGTTCCTCCAGTTTCAGGCCAGTAAGCCTGGCCATTATTACCATTTTGAGTTTTATTCAGCCTTCATCTCCCATATTGTCAAGAGCCTTTCACTGTGAACCATTCAGAGCAGCTAAAGGCACCTTGTACTTCTTCTGGTCTCTGTGTTGTGGAAATTGAGGGTAGCAAGATTCATATGTGCTAATAGAACTCATTGTCTCCATGTGCCTCTTCATTCTTCTGTGCTCTAGACAGGAAGAGACCAGTGTTTGTACTTTAGATTGTTGTTAACAGTGATCTTTACAGAAGCCTATCTCCAGACCTTCCATGGACCCACTGGGTGGGTTTGAACCACCCACCTATAGGTTGGCAGCTGAGTGCAGTGATTAACCACTGTGCCACCATGGTTCCTTAGTAAATGCTCCCACACATCCACCCCATGAATTGCTCTCATGCACTTTACTTCGAGCAGGCTTGACCCCTCCCTGGCTGTTCCTCTCATTAATCCCACCAAGGCTTTCAGCATCTGGCAGCCTCAGGCCCACGTTTCGGTGCAGGGGCTTCATTTGCAGGCATTGAGTGGAGTCTTTTCAGAGGTGGTCCCCACGCACTTCCAGGTTTCTTTTAAACACAAGACGACATGCTGATGGCTTGCCTGATGAGAAGAAAAAGCACTCTCTTCCCACCAGGCTCTGCGGAGAGAGGCCAGCCACTGCCATAGTGCCAGCCGCTCACTGCGCTCTGAGTCCTGACACCCCACTTCACAGGACAATGGGCCACCCCCTCTGTCAAAGGAGACGCCTACACAGTGCTTTCTGCAGCTCCTTTGAACTCCCCAGTTCAAATCTTCCAGAGCCCCTGCATGAAGCAGTCTCATGATCAGCTATTAACCAGAAGATTGGCAGCTTGAACCCACCTACAGGCACTTCAGAAGAAGGGCCTGGTGGTCTGCTTCTGTAAGGATGATCACTGACCCTGTAGTGCTCATTTCTGCTCTCTGTCATGGAAGGAGTCAGAATCAACTGGACAGCAATTGCTTTGTGTGCCCGGAGGGGCTGGTTTGCCTAGATCAGCTTCAGAGCCTTCCCCCAGCCTGGAGGCGGCCTTTCCCAGCAAGGACCCATCCCTCCACAGTAGCCCCACTTCGAGCCACCTGTTGGCAGGCGGTGTGTGTGTGTGTATTTGGCCAGGTCTCCTGGCCCGTGTGCTAACAGCCCGGTCATCACCTGTCTCTGCATCACTTCCTCATAGGCCCAACGTGCTGTCCATTCAGCTTGTGGGACGCTGAGTCCACAGCCTTCTCAACACTGTGTCCTCCTGCTTACAGAGCTAACTGGGATCTTCCTGGTGTTTCTGATGTAAAGCTTTGATTTTGGGGTTATTTTTTTTT